CCTATGTACTACAGCCTGAAACCTGTTCTAACCTGTGCCAACTTTACTGTCTCCAAGACACTTCATTACCCTAGTCACTGTTTCGATCCATCTCATCAAGGGTCTTCTCTTTCTCCATCCCTCCACCCTTCGAAGCATGATATCCCTCTCCAAGGACTGGTTGCTCCTTGCAACATGCCCAAAGTATGTCAGATGAAGCATCAGAATCCCTGCCTCAAAGGAGCAGCCTGGATTTACCCTCTCTAGGATGAACCTGTTGTTCTCCTGGAAGTCTATGGTATATTTAACACTCTTCTCCAGCACCACAGCTCAAAGACATAAATTCTCTTTCTATTATCATTATTTCCCAGCTCTCTGACACATCTGGATCAGGCTCACCTCAGTCTCCAGATTGACGTCGTTGCTCTTTAGTACTCTGGAGAGGTCCCCGATAGCTGATTTTCCCAATACAATTTGCCTCTTGATTTCCTAGCTGCTGGTACCAAGAGTGTTGATTGCGGAGCCAAGCAAACTAAAGCTGTTAACAATCTCAGTCTCTTCACCATCCATCATGATGCTGCACAATGGTCCAGTGGTGAGAATCTTTGTTTTCTTGATGTTGAGCTTCAATTGATATTGAAGGTTGCAGTTCTTGATTTTCTGAAGCAAGTGCTTCAGGTCCTCCTCAGTTTCAGGAAGCAGGGTTGTGTCATCTTTATAACACAGGTTGTTGATGTATCATATTCCAATCCTGATGCCACCTTCCTCCTTATACATCCCAGTCTCCCAGATGATCTGTTCTGCATGTAGATTGAAAAGGTATCGAGCTAGAATACATCCCTGGCATACACCCTTCCTGATTTTGAACCATGCAGTGTCTCCTTGCTCATTATTTAATGATAAAGAGAAATTAAATTCTAGTACATACTAGGCATGGAAGAACATTGAGAACAGTATGCTGAATTAAATAAACAGTTACACAAGGATAAATATGATATGTTCCCATTCATATGAAATACCCAGAACAGACTAACACATAGATATTGAAGTATGTTAGTGATTGCTATGAGAAGAAGCATTGAGTATAGATTCCATCTCAACATCAAGAAGAAAAAAAAACACACACCCAATATCTTCACCACTGGAGAAAGTCTTCAACAATTTCAATTTACTTTCATCCACAATCACCACCCTTGGTAGCAGCATTCAAGAAATCAAAAGATGCATTGCATCAGGAAAATGTATATATAAAGAACCTCTCCAAAGTTCTGCCAATGCCAATTTAAAATCTATTAATCAATTCAAGCCATGGAGTTTTCAATTACTTCCAACTCATCTGAAAGTTGCGCATAGAATAAGGATGACAGAAGAAGAATTCATGCCTTTCAGGTGTGCTGTTGGAAAAGAGTACTAAATATGCCATGAATTATCAAAAGAGCAAACAAGTTTGTCTTGAAAGAAGTGTAGCCAGAGTTCTACTAAGAGGCAAGGATGATGAAACTTCATCTCACATATTTTAGGTATGTTGTTAGGAGGACCAGTCCTTGGGAAAAGAAACTCATCATACTGGGAAAGTGGAGCGCCTCAGAGAAAGAAAGAAGACCTCCAACAAGATACAACAACACACTGAGTGTAAAATTGGGTTTGAATATTATTGGAGATCAAGATGGCACAAAGATTAAATCTGTTGTTCATATGGTCTCGACTCAGTGGCACCTAACAACAACAACAACATGGGGAGAAGGAAATGGGAGTTATTCCTGAAGGCATACTAAGGTTCTGTTTGGAGTGATGTAAAACTTTTGAAAATTAGTTATAATGATGGTAATGCAGCATGATGAATATTATTAATGTCACTGAATTTTACATGGAACATGCCTATGACTTTTTTAGAAGCAGAAAATATTTTTAATTGTAATTTATAAAGGTTTACATACTAAATTAATAAAGTTCATATACATAGTTTTCCACACCAGATCTTTCCCCTTTCCTTTATCAATCCCTCCCTCCACCCATCAAGTTGTGTGACCCTCTGTTTAAGACCAATCTTTCCCTCCTTAGATCTTCATACATGTTCTACAATAATGATCCTATACAGTATTTATCTTTATGAGACTGAGTTAGTTCACTTAGCTAACATAATGCTCTCCAGTCCCTCCCATGTTAGGTAGCAATTTACAAAATTATTGCTTCTCAGTGCTGCATAGTATTCCATCATGTGAATGGACCACAATTTCTCAATCCATTATATTGTGGTTGAGCCTTTGTGCTGTTTCCATGTTCTTGCTGTGGTAAATTATGTTGCTATGAGCATTGGTGTACAAGTTTCAGTTTGTGCCTCAGTTCTCATTTTCTCAGAGTATATTCCAAGCAGTGGAATAGCTGGGTCATATGGAATTTTTATGTCCAGCTTTTTGAGGAAACACCAGTCGGCCTTCCAGAGTGGTTATATCATTTTACAATCCCACCAACAATGTCTACGAGTTCCTATCTTGCCACATCCTTTCCAACATTTATTACTTGATGCCCTGCTAAACTTTGCCACTGCTGTTGGGGTAAGATGATATCCCATTGTGGGTTTGATTTGCATCTCTCTTATTAACAGTGATTTGGAGCATTTTTTCATGTGTTTATTGGCCATCTGAATGTCCTCCTCTGTAAAAAGTCTTTCCATGTCTCTTGCCCATTTTATAGATTGTCACTCTTTCTTCTGGAGGCCCAGGAGTACTTTGTAAACTTTTGTTATGAGACCATTTTCTGAGATGGTATTTCCAAATATTTGCTCCCAGTCAGTAGATTCTCTTTTCACCCTGTGAGGAAAAGTTTTTCATGAGCACAGAGATTTAATCTTTAGAAAGTGTCATCCTTTAATTTTATGCTCTTCAGATTGTGCATTTTTGTCTGTATTTGGCATTCTCTTTATACCATTGACTAGGTCTCCTAAGCTTGATCCCAGTTTGTTGCTCATGAACTCTAATCCACCTTGAGTTGATTTTTGTGTATTGTGTATTGATAGGTTTTATTTCCTTGTCAAATATCAGTTGACCATACATAGATGGGTCAATTTATGGGTTCTCAATTCTGTTTCATTGGTCTAAGTCCCTTTCATTGTACCAGTTCCATGTTTTGTTGGTTACCACCACTGTGTAGTAGATTTTGAGGTCAGGGAGTGCTGAGCCTCCCACTTCATTTTTGTTTTTCAGAATTGCTTCGTTTCTTTGGAGTCTCTTTCCTCTCCAAATAAACCTAACAATTTTTGTTTCTATCTACTTGAAAAAGGAATTTGATATCTGTATTAGGATGGGATGGAACATGTAGATTGCTTTTGGTACGATTGTCATTTTCACAATATTGAATCTTCCTATCTCTGGATAGTGCACATTTTTCCATTTCTTTAGGTCTTTTATTGTATCTTGCAGAAATGCTCTGTAGTTTTCTTTGTATAGGTCTTTTGTATCTTTAGTTAGGTTCACTCCCAAGTATTTAAATTTGTGGTTTCCTATTGTATGCATGGTATTACTTTCTTGGTTTTCTCCTGAGCTCTCTTTGTTACTATAGAGGAATGTCACTGATTTTTGGAAAGAACTATTTTCAACCCGCCAAAAAACTCGGATAAATTTCTGGAAAATATGCTTACTGTAAACAAAAACGTTACATGCTATATGATCTCACTTAACATTTTTAAAATGGTAAGTTTACGGTCATGACAAAAAGATGAAGTTAAGTATGCTAGAAAGGTAAGTAGATGAAATGGTGTGATAAAGAGACATTTTAGCTGTATAGATCTATTGTATTGTGCTGTAATTATTTAAGTAGCAAATTGGAGAAGTCTAAGTGAAGGATGTCTTCACATTTAGTTGCAACTTCCTCTTACCCAAAATTTACAGTCTCTAAAAGCCAACAAAATACTATTTCAGGAAATTATACATACTAATAACTATTGTTAAACCAAAAAAGATTTTTAAGAAAACCCTTCAAACTCATTGCTATTAACTCAAAACTGCTTCATAGCCAACCCTCCAGTAGATTTTCAGGAATTTTAAAATACATGGGTAGAAATTTTCCCATATTGTTTATGTGGAGCAGCTGATGAAACAGCCAACCTTTGGGTTGACAGCACAATTCTCTACCTACTGTTGTTGTTATGTACCTTCAAGTTGGATGCAAGCCAGAGTTGACCCTCCAGTGGGTTTTCCCTCAGCAGTAAATTTCATAGGAGATTGCCTATCTTTCTCCCTCTAAGCAGCTGGTGGATTAAAACCACATGCCTTCATACCACTAACATTTCCTTTAAAAAAATAATTAAACACAATGATCCTACACATTTTAAGTCAATGCCCTAGTAAGATTGGAAATTGAACATGAAATTTATAGTTCTGAAGTTCTCTAAGGAAACAACAAATTTGTTTTAATTTTTTAAAAATTCGTTTTATTTATATTGGCTTGTATACAAATTGTGTTTTGTTTCTGGAAGTTGTGTTTTACACATTTTTCTATTCACACTGTGTTTCATACAATTATTTTCATACATTGTGTTTTATAAAAGTAATCACCATTGATTCATTCCCACCATTACCTCACTTTTTTAGGTCACCACTGTGTCTTGCCTAATTCCTTCACTCTTTCTCTCTGCCCACCAAACTCTGCAACCTTGTGTTTCCACACCTCCCTCATTCCCTCTTCTTTCTCCTCTTCCTCTTCTGAACTTTTGTATACATCTTATTAGTAATCCTGTTTTTATAATAATGGTCTTATAAAATATTTGAAGAATTTTGTAAAATCAAGGATACAGGGAACCAAAAGAGTTAACTGTTAATAGAATTCATGTGACACGAAAGTCTGAATATTTATTTAAGTATATTTCTTCTAATAATATATTTTAATGGAAATAATTATTCTTATTGTAGGTTATTAGATGGTGATAAAACGCTATTATTCTGTTACCTGTTTACCTTTTATAAATCATATTTTATACAGCGTTCTGTGATTTCAAAACTTTTTCTTATATTTCTTTTATGAAGACTTGGATTGGGAATAGAAGAAGGAAATATCGCTTAATGGGCATTGAAGTTCCACCTCCAAGAGGAGGTCCTGCTGATTTCTCTGAGCAGTCTGAATCTGGCTCTTTGTCTGCATTCACATCAGGAGAGGAAGCTGGGCCCGACATTGGAGAAGATAATGACAGAAATGATGAAGTATCCATCTGTTTGTCTGAAGGAAGTTATCAAGGTACTTAGTATATTGCACTTCCTAATAACGGCTTTTGTAAATGTGATACATTTTTACTGCATTTCAGCTTACAAAATATTAAATCTAATTCATTAAAGTGATTTGGCCTACATTTGAAAAGGAGATGAAAAATTCTTTTTAAATGATTTGTTTGAGTGAAAATTTACAGAAAAAAATTAGTTTTCACTTTGATAATTCATACACTTTCTTTGTTATTGTTGTTGTTGTCATTTACCATTGAGTTGGAACCGACTCAGAGGTGAAATTCCAGAGGGTTTTCATTGGGAGTAAATTGCACAGAAGAAGATTGCTCATCTTCTCCCCACAGAGATTCTAACCACACCGTGTACTTTTACGCTACAGTACAATTCCTTACCACTAAACCACCAGACCGGGGGAGTAGTACTGTAAGGATCTGGTAATTGACTGGAGAAAGATTTCCCTAAGGGTAAAGGGAAGTAACTAACTACTCCTACCCATGCACTGTTGTTGTTGCTACATATTTTGAACATGTTGCTAAGAGAGGCTATTCATTGGAAAGGGTCATCATGCTTTAAAAGGTCAGCGAAAGAGAGGAAGATCCTTAATGAGATGAACTGACACAATGACTGCAGCAATGGGCTCAAGTGTGTAAGAGATGGCACAGGATAGGACAGGGTTCACATCTGTTGTTCATAGGGTCATTATGAGTTGTATGTGACTTGACAGTACCTACCAACAACAACGACAGGCTACTAGATCTCTTGTTATGTTTAGTAATATTGATTACAAACCCCACATTGTAACAGCACTCTTTTTACTCTTCCTTTGCTTCCTGATTTCATTAATCCCTCTTTCTTATAGATTACTGCATTCAGAACTTTTAAACCCCGGCCGTGTTCCTTTTATCACCTTGCATGGATGATTGTTCTAAGAAGTTTGTTCTTCGTTATCAATTACCTTATAGGACTGTGTATTATTTGGCTAGAAGTTGATGTCAAAGAGATTATTTCAATTCCTAACTTGAAGAGTGAGCAAGAACCACAATCTTAGAGGTTCCATGTGTCTCTATAAAACCATTAAGCCTAGTAATTTTAATAATTTTCCATTTTATTCTCTATTTTTCCTTAATTTTATCAGGGACCTTATGTAGTGATCCCCTTCAGAGTAATCAGCAGTGGTAGAAAAGTACCAAGTAGTTCTGATTTCAGAATCACAAAGACTCTGGAGTTCACGTGGTTCATTAGTCCTTTGGACTAATGGTCTTTGATTTGCTTCACTCTTCTTTGCTCTGAACAGGGACAGACCAAAAGTTACACTCTAGGTAGCAAGTGACAAGGTTCTAAGATTCCAGGAGATAGACCTCTCCAAAAAGAGCAAAAAAATATAAACACTGCCATCAGTTACAATTTATTTGAGTTTCCAAGGCTGTACATCTTAATTATAAGAGACTCCTCTTCTTTCTCCCACCTGATGAACTCCAACCACCAAAGATGTATAGCCTTTTGGTTAGTAGTGCAACACAGTTGACCTATGCCAGTAGAGCTACTTCTTTTTGTAGACTATTGTTATGTGACATCGAGTCGCTTGAGACTCATAGCGACCCTATGTATAACAGTCCTAAACTCTGCTTTGTCCTGTTCCAATCGCACTGTCTCCAATACACCCATCCCAATTACCCCAGTCACTGAATCAACCCACCTCATAGAGGGCCTTCCCCTCTTGCACTGTCCCTCCACCCTACCAAGCATGATGTCCCTCTCCAAGGATCTGTCTCTCATTACCACATGTCCAAAGTATGTCAGACGAAGCCCCAGAACCCTCTCTAGGATGATTCTGTTTGTTTTCTTGGTATTCCAGGGATAATAGTCTTATTTTATTGGAATTATAATAGATTTAGATATAGTCTTACTGATGTACTATTATTAAAGAATATGATAAAGTTTGTAGAATACCAGGCTATTAGTAGTCAAGTAATGTGTGTGTGTGTGTGTGTGTGTGTGTGTGTGTGTATCTCCTAGATCTTTCACTAGTTGATTATGTGATTTGAGGGGAAGCATTTAATTTCTGGATTTTAGTTTCCTATTCTCAAAGTAGGAAATTATTGTGATATAATACATTATATGTTGTGCTGCCAACAGAAAGTTCAGTGATTCAGAATCACTACCAGCATTGTGGGCTGCATTATGGAAGTCACCTCTATGGAAGATTTACAGTCACAGAAATAAAATATTTGAAATCACCTTGATGGCTGTGAGTTTAGTTTTTAGTTTGCAAAATAAGGGAATTACATTGAGTTAACTTTATAAAATCTCACAAAATCTCCCTAAACGGAAATTCAAGCAATAACATGTTGTTGTTACTATTATGTGTTGTGGAGTCATCTGCAAACCATAGTCACCCTATATGCAGCAACTCTGAGGCCTGCCCTATAATGAATGAGTTTCACTGGTTCTGACACACCAACGCCCATTGAACCAGTTACTGTATCAATCAGTAGCATGTAGTTAATGCCATTTGTCTATGAGAAATTTATTTTATAGTATTCCAAATGTAGAAACAGTCTTCTGCTGCTTTTGAAAATTTTAACTTTGTTTTAATTTGCATATCCTAACTTGTATCCATTGTAAGTATTTAATTCCATGATTTTCATAAATGTTGTAGCTATACAACTATTGTTATTGTTGTTGTGTACCGTAGAATCAGAATCAAGCTGACCCTCCAGTGCGTTTTCAGAGGCAGTTTATCAAATAGCAAGAGATTGTCCCTCATTCTCCAGTGGAGCGACTGGTGATCTCGAACTATGTGCCTTCAGGATGGCAGCAAAACTTCTTGCCACAAAGTCCAGTTTCAGAAACTTTAAATTTAAAAAAATCTCTATTTAGTCTGTTTGCATTTAGATCACATTCCCACTTTGGCATCAGGCATCCAATAATCTCTCTGTAGTCATCTGTCTTTTCTGGGCAGTTTATACAAATGGAATCATAATATGCTCATTTTTGTCTGTGTGTGTTAGGAAGTGAGAGATACAAATTTTGTTTTTTCCCATATTTTATTGATATTAAAGAATATTATTCAAGACAACATATTTTCCAACTAATATTACTTTTTAAAAATCTTTGTTTTTCATACAATAATTTTTTTATATTATATTTCATTCAAAGATGAGGAAAATTAAACCAAATCCAAGGCAACCAAAATATGACTTTGAGTCTATCCCACCTGAATTTCAGAACCATCTCAGGAACAGATTTG